CCCTTCTTTGTTACAACTGACTTTTCCTTCCCCTTGGAAGCCCTTTCCGGCACCCTCCTGTCTCCCAGGTTGGTTAGGCATCCTTCTGATTTCCCAAGACATTTGGGTTTTATCTTTTAAGGTGTGTGTGTGTGTGTGTGTGTGTGTGTGTGTGTGTGTGTGCTCCACTGTGGCCAGGACTGGGTATTGGATCCCCTGGAGCTGGAGTTACACATGTTCGTGAGGCACTTGATGGAGGTGCCTGGGTTCATATTATAGTCCTTTGATAGAGCAATAAGCGCCCTTAGCCATCGAGACCATCTCTCCAGCCCACATGCTAGTTTATCTGCTGATTTTGAGACAAGGTCTCTCTCTGCAGTCCTGGCTATCCTAGAACTCTCTATGTAGAACAGTGTGGCTTCAAACTCACAGAGATCCACCTGCTTCTGCCTCCCAAGTGCTGGGATTAAAGGCGTTCGCCACACACTCGGCTCCATGCTCGGTTTTATTGTGCTGTTTCTAGAGTCGTTTTAATTCTAGGTTTCCCATTCCCTTCTGTCGGAGACATTGTAACAAAGGGTGATGCTGCTCTCCTCGGGTGGCTAGACAGGAATTTAGAGATCTCCTGGATCACAGAAAGCTACCAGACCTGGGGGAACTGAGCCAGCCTCTCCCTCTGATAGAACTGGGGTGACAAGTCAATGCTCCTGTCATACTGAGCCATGTAAGAAGTTGCTCTTTATGTGGAATTGTGGGCTTTTTAATTAAAAGTAAATTACTCGAACAGGGTCGCACTCCATTGGAACACGCTGTCTTAGAATTCATGGCAGTTTCTCTCAGCCTTCTGAGTGCTAAGATGTCAGTCAGGAGTCACCACATTCCACTAGTTGGGTTTCTTTGTTGTTTTGCTTTGGGTTTTAATTGTAGTTTTGAGACAGTCTCACCCTGTAACCCAGGTTGGCCTTCAACTCATGTCAATCCTCCTGCCTCAGCCTCCCAAGTGCTGGGATTATAAGTGTGACAACCACAACCTGTTGTTGGTTGGTTTTTTTTTGGCTCTTTTTGGGGGCGGGGTAGGCTCACCACCCAGCTCCCAAATAAATCACACACAGAGTCTATTACTTAGGAATGCCCGGCCCTAGCTTGGCTTAGTTCCTTGCCAGCTTTCCGTGACTTCAATGATCTCATCTATCTTTGGCCTCCGGGCCTTTCCGTTCTCTTACTTCTGTAAATCTTACTCTTCTCCATGGCTTGCTGTGTAGCTTGGTGCCTGGTCCCTGGAGTCCTCCTCCTTCTCTGGTTCCCAGATCTCTCCTCCTACTTATTCTCTCTGCCTGCCAGCCCTGCCTATCCTTTCTCCTGCATTGACCATGCAGAGCTTTATTAGACCATCGGGTGTTCTAGACAGGCACAGTTAGACAGCTTCACAGAGTTAAACAAATGCAACATTAGACAAAAGTAACACACCTTAAAACAATATTCTACCACAACCAGCTTTTGTTGCGTTATTGTTTAGGGTGGTGTCTCATGCAGCCAAGGGTGGCCTGAGCTCACTCAGGGCCGTCCTGCTTTCAGCGGAGACGCAAGGTTAGGGAATTTGAAGAGACTCTGGCCAGCTCTAGTGTGGTGAGCATGGTTCTGGCAGGCCTTGCCCTTCCCCCATTCCCTCTGCCTTGCTAAAAACTGTTAGATTACATCCTGAAGCTAACCACCAAGGTCCCTTATTTGGCCACTTCCTCCTTGTGAGGCTGACTGCCCAGGTCCAGGTATCGAAGTACTGAAGTCCACCAATCAAAAGCCCCCTTTGAGCTCACCTAATTAACATGCCCAGTTAGGATTAACCCCTCATCCTAACACCGGGTTTTTCCTTGTACCTTTATAGCGCCATTTTCCTATATGCCCCGTCTGTCTCCTCTCTATCCAGAGGCAGTCCTTCATTCTTCCGGAACAAACATTCCCCTCCCCCTTTCCTTGTTCCTTCTCCCTCGTCCTCTGTCTCCTGTCTTTGTCTCTTATTTTTGCCCTCTCTCCCCCTGGGGCAAATACATCTCCTTTGTGCTGAGAACAGGGTCTTGGGCGTCCGGAGCCGATACTTTTCCTTTCAGAATTAACTTTAGCAGTAAGAAGAAATTATGTTTCAAAATTGTTTCTGTTTTGCTTAAGAAGGTGTTTCATTCTTTTTTTTTTTTAGATTTATTTATTTATTATGTACACAGAAGAGGGCACCAGATGTCATTACAGATGGTTGTGAGCCACCATGTGGTTGCTGGGAATTGAACTCAGGACCTCTGGAAGAGCAGTCAGTGCTCTTAACCTTTGAGCCATCTCTCCAGCCCCAGTGTTTCATTCTTTAACTCAGGTTGGCTTTGAACTGGTGGCAATCTTGCTTCCTCAGCCTCAAGTACTGGAAATACAAATTACATTTTGAACCTCCAAACTTGAATGCCTTCCTTGTTTTTTTTTTTGTTTTTTTTTTTGTTTTTTGGTTTTTTTTTTGGTTTTTTTTGTTTTTGTTTTTGTTTTTGAGACAGTGACTCACATAGCCCAGACTGGCTTTGAATTTGCTGTGTAGCAGAGGATGACCACAAACTTTTGATCCTCTTGCCTCTGTCTCCCTAGGGATATCAGGTGTGAGTGGCTACACCCAGTTTTATGGTACTGGGAATTGAACCCGGGGCTTCCAGTATGCTAAGCAAACACTCTTATCAACCGAGCTGCATCCTCAGCCCTTAAATGTCTTCTTAAAGATTTAAACAAGGTTGTAAACCAGGCAGTGGTGGCACATGCCTTTAATCCCAGCACTCAGGAGGCAGAGGCAGGCGGATCTGTGAGTTTAAGGCTTTTGAACTCTCAGAGTGAGTTCTGGGACAAGCCAGGGCTACACAGAGAAACCTTGTCTCCAAAAGCAAACCAAAAGAAAAAAAAAAAGTTTAGACAAAGTAGTAAGGTATCTTCTTCCCTGGGCAATCTTCTTTGCCAGTGGAATCCTTCCAGTGTGATTTCAGGCTTGGTTCTGTCTGTAGTTCTTGTCTTCGGGTCTTACAGTTTATGTTAAGAAGGTTGTGATACAGCTTTGACTGTTGTGCGTCCGTTGGGGGAGACAGAACCTTTCAAAGTTGGTGACTTTTAAGCTGTGTGAGATCTGCCAGGAGTGAAGGAAGAGAGGAGCTTAGGCGAGGGAGAGAGAGAGAGAGAGAGAGAGAGAGAGAGAGAGAGAGAGAGAGAGAGAGCGAGAGCAGGTGCCTCCAGGGAGTGTCTCAGGAGGACCGGTTGCTCCAGGGAGAGTGGAGAGGGTGCTGGGGATCCTGCCGCTGGCCTGGCCGCAGTTACTGGAATTTCTCCCTCTGTCGTAATAAGGACAGTGCCTGCTCTAGGCTTTTCTGAGAACAAAGCAACTTCATCAAGACATTTAATCTGGATTTAACTGATAACAATCCGTGTCCTTTTCTACTTCTTAGAGTTTTCATTTTATCCCACAGGTAGGAGTGATGTTTGAAATCTTTCCCCGCCAGTACTACCCAGTTACTGCAGTCTGATTGAAATGAAGGTATTCTAAAGAGACACTGTGCCTCTCGATCTTAGTGAAACAAAGGACCCCAAAGAGACAGGAATTTGCCTAGGAACCCCACACTGAGAAGGAAAGAGGTTTCACACACTTCGATCCCAGGCTGAGGCTGAAGCCCACATGGTGGACAGGACCACACCTTTACTGGGACCACTTAGATGTTGTGTGTCTGTGGCCCTCTATTTAAACTTCGATCTCACTTCAGAACACTGAAGACAGACTCGGAGAGCCCCCTGGATCCCTTTGTCTCTCTTTCCAGCATGGTCCCATTGAGTAAATTTTTTTCTGCTTCCCATATTTTTGATTGCTTTGTTTTGAGACAGGGTCTTACTCTGGCTGTCCTGGAACTCCTATGTATACCAGGCTGGCCTTGATCTCACAGAGGCCCGACTGCCTCTAGAGTGCTGGGACTAAAGACTTCACCACTACACCTGGCTCTGCTTTTCACTTTGTTTGTTTGTTTGTTTGTTTGAGACAAAGTTTCTCTGCGTAACAGCCCTGGTTGTCCTGGAACTCCAGGCTGGCCTTGAACTCAGATATCTGCCTCTGCCTCTCTGCTGTTTTTCACTTTTAGTTTGGCTCTTTAAATTGGCCAGACCTGAGTACCTGAGTTGGGATGCAAGTTGTGACCCCAAGTTCGGTAACAGTTATCACCCAGTCAAAATAGAGGTAGGTCACGTACAACCAGCTTGCCCTGCCTGACAAGGAAGCCACAGAGACTTTTTGCTCATCTGAAGGTCGTATGAGTTAGAAAAAGGACACCAAGGCAAGCACGGGGTGGGTGCCAATAATTCCAGCACTCAGGGAGTAAGGGTAGAAGAATCTCGTTTGAGGCTAGCTTGGGCTGCACAGCGAGTTCAAGACTAACCTGGGGCTGCATACTGAGACCTTGTCTCAAAAAAACAAAACAAAACAAAAACAGGCAACCTGAGCCTGGCGAGCCTGGCGAGCCTGGCGGCGGTGGCTTATGCCTTTAATCCCAGCACTCGGGAGGCAGAGGCAGGTAGATCTCTGTGAGTTGGAGGCCAGCCTGGTCTACAGAGCAAGATCCAGGACAGGCATCAAAACTACACAGAGAAACTCGGTCTCAAAAAAAACAAAACAGTCTACGGCCATACCACCCTGAACGTGCCCGATCTCGTCTGATCTCGGAAGCTAAGCAGGGTCGGGCCTGGTTAGTACTTGGATGGGAGACCGCCTGGGAATACCGGGTGCTGTAGGCTTAAAAAATATAAAATTAAAAAAAACAAAAACAAAAACAAAACAAACAAAACAGGCAACCTGGCAAGACAGCCTAGGAGGCAAAGGCCGGTGGCTAAGCCTGAGGACCTGAGTTCAAAGCCAGGGACCCATAAAGCGGAAAAAGAGAACAGGTGCAACTCAGCCGTTGAGTACTCACTCCCCACTGTTACTGCGTAAGGGTCTTTTCTCTGCCAGTCACAGAATTGGAAAGCAGGAAAAATCTCACGCACAGCAGGCAGAGGCAGAGAAGTCTCAGACAGCAAACAGAATCAAACGCTAAAGACAGACTTTTGCCGGGCGGTGGTGGCACACACACTCAGGAGGCAGAGGCAGGCAGATCTCTGAGTTCAAGGCCAGCCTGGGCTACAGAGCGAGTTCCAGGATAGCCAGGACTAACTTGTCTTGGAAAACACACAACAAACAAACAAGTTAGGAAGAAAGACTTTGACTACCCAGCAAGACACACAGAAGACCCTCTGCAAAGCAGGGTTGAAAGCCAAAACTTGGTCTGTCCTTGAGTGGGTGGAGTGAGGTGAGGGACTGGGAGGGGATTGGGGGCTGCGGGGGTGCAGGGTTCGGGGTGGGGGAGGTTAAGGGTCTTCGAGAGAGGTGTCCTCTCCCAGTTTAGGCTTGGTCAGTTTGGACAAAGGTAGGGAAACCGGCCCACAAACCACATCCTGGTCTGGCCTTGAACTTGTCTGACCAGTCCACAGGCAGGAGGCCCTCCAGGCAGGATAAAAGGCCCCTCAGGCCTTTGTTTTTAAACTGCCAGGCTTGGGTCTCAGGTCAGGAGGGTGGAGAAGAAGCCAACCATCTTGAAGTTCAGCATCCTTATTATCTAGTCATGGCCCCGCTCCCTGTCTGTCTGTCAGGGAATCAACCGAACTCACACTCCAGAAACGGAAAATAGAAGTATCAGGAGTTAAGGTCGTTCTTGGCCCAGGCTGGAACAAATGAGATCCTATCTCACAGCAGCAGCAAGGCTGTCTTTTGTAGCACTACCAAGAGCATTTCTTCTTTAAACAGGAGTTTTAGTTATCTGAATAATAGAGTGTGAAGTATGAATAGAATCTTAGAAGTACGTTTAAAATAAGCATAATTTTGAAATTGCTGAGAATTCCTGTAAATATTAATTTAGTGTTCCTGAATCTCAAAGAGTAACCCGCAAGAAATTTGAGAATGCTGAGGAACTTGTTTTTTTCACTGTGTAATTCTACAATACATCATTGTTGCTGAATAAATGTACTTTTTATTTTGTAAACAAAACAAAACAAAAAGCCACCACAACAGTGGGGCTAGAGAGATGGCTTTGCAGTCAAGAGCACTGGCTGCTCTTCCAGAGGACCTGGGTTCAGTTCCCAGCAGGCACATATTGGCTAACAACCCTCTGAAACTCCAGCCCAGGGAATCTGACACCTCTTTCTGTCCACCTTAGGTTTCAGGCATACATGTGATGCACAAGTTTGTGCATACAGACTAAACACCCACACACGTCAAAATTAAATGAGTAAGAATTTTAAAACACACACAACAACATGACAGATCTACACATGCCCACAAGACCAAAACACAGAGTCTGGCATTGCTAGACTGCCATGAGTTTGAGGCCAGCCTGGGCTACATAATCAGTTCTAGCCAGCCTAGGTCATAGCGGCTCAAAACCAAAGCCAAAACAAAAAAGAAGAGATAAAGAGGAGCAAGAGGATACAAAAGACTCTAATGACAGGCGTGGTGGCACATGCCTTTTGTCCCAGTGCCGGGAAGGCAGAGGCAGGCAGATCTCCAGGCCAGCCTGGTCTACAGAGTGAGTTCCAGGACAGCCAGGGCTACACAGAGAAACCTTCTGTTGCAAAACCAGAAAAAAAGAGAAGGTCCTAGTGACAGAGAAGTGGGAAGGGAGGAGGAGAGACTTGTTAGATCTAAAGAGTTCCCCCAAAGACCGATGTAGAAAATTCATGCCTTGGAATATTCAGAGCCGGTGGCAGCCTAAACTCATGTGGCAGGTATAGTTCTCCTGGGGTGCTAAGTGTATGTAACTAGAGGGGAAGAAAGTACAGGATCAGAAGAACCCAGCCACCCTGGAGAATGGTTGGTCTGTAGGTAGTATCTCTACAACTTTCTCCACCTCTAGTCTGCAATAATCCACTTCCTACCAGGAGAAGCTAAGTTTGTTCGTGTTTGTGGAAATGTGTGCCTGGGCCTCTGGAGAGAAGCCTGACTGGGGAAGGGACCTAACAAGCTATCTTTGACTTGTGAGATCTTTTGTCCCTCACCCAGTCTTGGTATCATTTCATTATTATAGAAACTGAGGTGTTCGGTATTAACTCCTCCATGGGTGCCAAGAACGTTCTAGCCTCCATCCTGCATATTGTTCCGAAGTCTGTGCTCCTTTCTCTGTTCATCTTTTCTGATTGAGCTTCAAAGACACCATTTCCCACTCACCTATCCAGCTACCCATCCCCATAATTTAAGAAAGACAGTTCAAAAGGTATGTTTTTATTTTTTAAAAAAATGACATGCAACCCCCATCCCTAACAAACTATAAATGCGTGGGATACAGAATAAAAAGGAAATCCAACCCATCCTGATGAGACACCAGTATAATTTCACAAAGCTGAAAAATCTTTTACAAAGCTTCTGTTATATAAATATAGTCAATTTTAGCTTTAATATAGAGTTAGAAAAAAAAAGTTTTGATGGCATAAGAAATCCCCTGGTCCTTAGATATACCATAATCTTCATTTGTATTCCCAGCCAAATATAGGGATAACTGCAGGATGAAATTATCATGTAGGATTCTAGATATCCATATGGAGTTTACACACTATCTCCTGAACCAATGCTCTGCCCCTAAAACTTATGTAAACTACCACAGCCCTGGCTCAAGGGCTAATGTGTCTGTCCTAAACTGTATGTTCATGATCAGTGATGTAGCTCAGTGGTAGAGCACTTTGCCTAGCATGTGAGAAGCCCTGGGGTTCATCTTCAGCACAGAAAACTAAGTCACTGAATTGTATATTTTGAAAGGGTGACTTATGCTGTCTGTAAATTATATATTAGTAGAGCTACTGAAATTATCTGAAGTTGCTGAACTGCTAGAGAAGCAACAGGTGACCCTCTTCCTTTAGGAATCACCCCAGCAGGGGTAGAGGAGAGATCCCAAAAATGCTATCGTAGAATCAGTGCAGTCTGAGGATGCTTGGGGTTGGGGCACTCAATTCTAAGACATCCTAATAAGAAGTCCAAAGTGATGAACTTTTTTCTACTTCTTACAGAATAGTCTAAGTTATCCCCGGTGGTCTTCATCACAGAAACCCAAGAGGCTGCAGGAGACGAGCCATGAGTTCATGGCCTATGTGTACATATCCACTCGAGACAATTCCAGCATGGTCAAGGCCTGAGAGTCACACAATCAGGGACAGCTTGGATACCCAAAGAAAAGTTTTTATGTTTAGTCACCGTGGATGCCTCTGATGGTCAGAAGTCGTGGCATGGCTTCATTTCTTTCTGATTCTTAGGAACCATCACCAGGGCAGCCATGAGGATCAGACGAGCAAGCCACTTCTTTGGCTGACAAACCACTCAGAAATGCCTCTCTGTTTTATGCCAATCACCTGTCGCTGGGGAAAGGGCACAGGTGTAGACCACGGAGAACGGGAGCTCAACCAAGAGCTGGCCATTCTGGCATGGGGTGAAAGAGGTAGAATTCCCAGGAGGAGGAAGAAAAAGTCAACTGGAAAATTTTCTGTGTTTTTCTATTCTAGATACTTCATCAATTATAGCTGAGTAAAAGGAGGAGATGGGGAGAAGGGACCCACTCTGTTCGTGAGACGGCACCTAGTCTACTCACCTTCCAAAGGGGGGGTCACCAGAAATGGAGGCCGGGAGTCTTCTAGAGCTTTAGTGTACAAAGGAAACGAGAATAGGCCAGGGGCCGGGGTGACAAGTCCCTCAGTTGGGTGCAGACCTTTAAAACATCCCTGGTTTTCCTCCCTGAAGACTCGTCAGTATCTGCCTTGCATGCATGCAGCCCCTTCCTGGGCACTCTAGAAGTTAGTACCTCTGTGACCTAGCAGATATCATGACCATAACTGGTCCATGTCCTCATGGGCTGGAGTCCCTAGAACCACCCATTAAAACCCTGGCCTCCTGCGTTCTTTCCAAATAAGATGCTGCATCCCATGATGCCCTAGGACTGAGGTGCTCACAGATGGGCGGTTCCTCGCTGGCAAGTGTTTATATCTCCCAGTGAAGTCCATAGAAGATAAAGCTCGACTTACCTGGTTCTTTCTAGTGTCCTAAGGAGATGGAAGGGACATTTAAAAAAAATAATAATATCAGCTGTGGGGAATAGGTCTACTAGGGCTTTGGGCAAGTTCTTGATAAATAAATAAATCATCTCCTTTGCCTTTAGTGAGAATATTTATCACTGAAGAGAAGGAAACGAGGTTTCGGGTTATAAAACAGAACAAACAAAACCCCTTCTTTCTTGTCTTTGTGTTTTTTTCCCAGTCTTTTCTTACGCGGGCTTCGACTCACCTTGTCCCCACACTGTCCACTGCTCCCTGTTCAAGCTCACCACCCAGAAGGAACGAACCCAGGCTGCTGGGAAGACTGTCCGTCTCCAGCCTCCGCTCACCCAGCCTCTCTCCTAAAGAGATCGGGAGTCGAAAGCCTTTATCTGACCAAGAAAGCTTTCAGCTGCGCCTGCCCTCAAACAGGAGGCCAGACGTCAGTCCGATACTTCAAAAGGAACTATTTTCACTCCAGAGCTATAAGAGTTATGAGCAGAGGAGAGAGTATGGCTCCGGGGGGTGAACTATTTTAGGACACAAGATACAAGCAAGGAAACGATACACAAAGTGTGGGTATATTTGGTAGGTTTGAGGCAAGCAGAGAGAAAGGTTTGGGTACGCTGTAAAAAACAAGGGTCTGAAATCCAAACTTCCGATAAGGCCACGATGAAGAGATTCCCAGCAGCGGGGAGTGCAGGCTGCTGGCGTCTGAACTGCCCCAGGCCTGCAGGGTGATGCGCCCAGATGAGAGGCGGCGGGCGAGGCAGGACCCGGGCCTCTCACAGGTCCATGTCTGGGCCTCCTGAAGACGTCTTCAGCGGCACCGAGTCGAATCCATCAGGGGTCCTCTGAAAGAGAGATGGTGACAGGAGCTGGCGGCTGCACGGGGCAGATTAAGGGGACAAAGGAGAGAAATGGAAAACAGGTGACCGAAGGAACCCTGCGGGACTTCCGGCTTCCCGTGGATCGGTGGGAACGTAGGAACGGGCCGCCTGCTGTCTTACAGACTCAGAGAATAAGAAAATCATGATTCCTGCTTTGCATCTTTGCTTAGTTCTCGAGGTCCCAGACAGACCCACGAGGTCCCCAGAGTAACTATTCTCTCACTGGTGGGAAGGAAACAAAACACAAAAATCAAGGCCAGAGTTGGCCACGGGCGTCACCCTGACGAGTCAGCACAAAGGATCAGACCCGGGCACTGGACACCTACTGCCGCCCCTTCTTCACCACGCTTCCTGCCCCCGCCTGTCCTCCCCCACCCGCCCCAGCCACACCTGTTTGAAAGACTCCCTTGTGCGGCAATCAGGTGTGTGCGCAGCCTGGGAGGAATCGTTCGGGTGCCCTCTGCTGGCCCCCTGCCCAGAGAGAGTGGTGTCTGTAGGCATTTATGAGCGTCAGGCTCACCAACTCACCCACACAGAGGCAGGCAGCCCAGCTCAGAAGCACATACCAGGCGCAGTTTAGGCTGGGCTAGGACTCAGCCTCTCAGGTCGGGGCCCACAACACCTTGGGGATAGCACCCTCCACTGGTCTATCAGAAACTGAACCTAGAGATGGCCTCCTCTTCACTAAAAGACACACACACACACACACACACACACACACACACACACACACACAGAACAAAAAACAACTCCCCCCGCCACGCTCTCTCTCTCTCTCTCTCTCTCTCTGTGTGTGTGTGTAACTGTCGCACACGGAAGGTTCAATACTCCTTCTGGAAGTTGAAAGGCCCTAACAATCTATCTACTAGGGAGGAGTGAGCAGGACTAGGCCCCAGGGAGGAGGGTACTGATGTGAAATACAGAAGGCAGAAGGTGGGGTTTCTAGGAGAGGCTGGAACAGTGCTGGGAGTTAGGAGCAGAGTACAGGTCTTCAGTGGAGCGGGGCCACTCTGTCCCAGGGGCCTCTCCACGCCCTAGGCTGATTCTCAGGTCACTTAGAGTCCCTCTCTACCTTGGCAGTAAAGGATTTGATCTTCCCAAAGAGTGACTTCTTGCTGGTAAAGATGAGGTCATCTTCCACATCCTCCCCTTCCATGATGGCACAACTGTCTGCAGCTGGCAGGTCACAGTCCTTGAGGGTAGCGTTCATCACCAGTTTGGAGTACTTGTATTCTAGTCTGTGAAATGAGGGAAGGAAAGAGGCAAGGTGTGAGAGGGTGGCATCGAGGGGATAGTTGGTGAACACAGACAACCCCTACTCCGTCATGAGGGGATGGTTGTGCACACAGATAACCCCTCCCCCATCATGAGGGAATGGTTGTGCACACAGATAACCCCTCCCTCATCATGAGGGGACAGTTGGTGCACACAGACAATGCCTCCCCCGTCATGAGGGGATGTTTGGGCTGCACATAGATAACCCCTATGTAAGGAAGTGGAAGCCTTGCAAAGAGTGTGAAGGACAGGTGAACAGAAGGAATCTTGGCTCTCTGTTTAATGATATTTTTCCCCCCAAGGCTGGTTGTTTCTCAAAACAGAAATATTTATAAAGCCATGCCTTGTTTGGTTGTTTATGAGACAGGGTTTCATATAGCCTAGGCTGGCCTGGAATGGATAGGCACCTGGAGGATGACCCTGAACTCTGTCCTCTTGCCTCTAACTCCTAAACGTTGGGATCATGAACCACTATACCTTGCCTTTGTATTGTTAATGAAAACAACAAAGAGACCTTTGAATCCAGGTCTCTTGAATGTTAGGCAAGGACTCTCACTGATCTACAACCTCAGCCCAAGGATACTCCTTTCTTTTCTCTCTCTCTCCCCCTCCCTCCCTCCCTCCCTCCCTCCCTCCCTTCCTTCCTTCCTTCCTTCCTTCCTTCCTTCCTTCCTTCCTTCCTTTTTGGAGACAGGGTCTCATGTAGACTAGGCTGGCCCCAAACTCACAGAGATCTCCCTGTCTCTACCTCCTAAGTACTGGCATTAAAGACCTGCACCACCACACCTGGCTTGGTTTTTCTTTAGAGAATCTTATAGCTATTTTTAGATAGCCATCCCTGCTCAAATTGAAGGCCTACAATGGATGGGTGTCTTTAAAAGTCTCTGGTCAACCTCAGGGTCAATAGCCAGCTCCAAAGAAAATTCTCAGTAATACCCTCAGATCTTATTCCTGCTCAAGGATCCAACCCTGACCTCCCACAGATTCCAACGCCCCACCATGTACTTTTGATTCTTCTTCCAGAAGTAGCAGGTCAAGACGGTGAGCAGGATGGCAGTGCAGGTGCCAGCGGAGATGCCTACTTTCAACCAAAAATCTATCGTTTTGCAGATGGTGACTCTCTGCTCAGGCAGGGAGATGCCCCCAGAGCACATCTTTGGTTCTCGCCACATGTACGTAGTCTTCTGTTGGGGAGAAAAACAGGGACCTCAGAACTCACAATCTTTCCTTTCCTGGGACGTTCCCAAGCAGAGGGCAACTTACCTGGATCCCAGCCACACAGCTGCTGACAAAAGTGTGGTAGTCAGAGGCTGAGCAGAGTGGACAGGCAGCCACATTCTCCCACAGGAAGTGGAAATTACAGCCATCGCAGGTCCCATCAGAGCACATGCTAGCAAAGTAGGAAGGAGACAGAGTTGTCAGGTGATGGATTGGTGGGAATGCTGTGAAACAATTCTTTTCTATACTCTGAATATGTAGTACTCTCATTGGTTAATAAAAAGCTGACAGGCCAGTAGCTGGGCAGAAAGTTAGGTGAGAAAGCCAAACAGATAATGATGGGAAGAAGGAGGGCAGAGTTAATAGATACCAGCCAGCCACCCAGAAAGCAAGACACACTAGAGGACAGGTAAAGCCACGAGCTACATGGCAATACATAGATGAATAGAAATTGGTTAATTTGAATGTAAGAGGTTAGCTAGTAACAAGCCTGAGCTATCAGCTGAAAATTTATAATTCATATTCAGCCTTTGAATTGGTTATTTGGGACCTGGCAGTTGGGACAGAAAAACTCCACCTCCATTTACATATGGTAGCCCAACATGGGTGTACATTCATATAAAGCCTAAGAAAGCTTTAAAAAAAGGGGGTAGGGGGTTCTATAAACACAAAAACCGAGCCAAGAAAAGCTTCCTAGTTCATGTTTCTCATGCAGACTGTGGTACAGAGACACATCCCCCGGCCATGGCATGTGGGCTTGAGCTGCAGTATGGCAGATTCTCAAAGGCTCCCACAGGCCAAGGTACAGAGAGACATCTCCCAGCCATGTGCTATGTGGTGGATTTAGCCTTTTTGCTCATACAGACAAAAAGAGTTAAAGATACACAGTAAGGACAGATTCATATAAAAAGGCCTCTAAACGGGTCACAGTGTGTTTCAAAAATGTGTGTAGGCTTAAGAGAGAGAAGGAAAAGGAAAGAAATGGTCATAGATTAAAAAACAATTTAAAATAATAGTAAAGTCATTGAAAAGGGAATAGAGCAATAAAAAAACATAAAAGACATAAAGATGGGAAATACACAGAGAGTCTGGATTCTATATTTTATTGTGTTTCCTTTAGATTTTGTGACTGTTAATAGGTGAATAATAACTGCGGAGAGACATTTGATTGTGAAAGCTACTAAATTAAACCAACCTACATATTTTAAAAATACCTTGACTCCAAAATTTAAGTCAAAAGGTATGTCACTTTGGGGGAGAGGTTGTGTTTTTGTTTCTGCAGGAAATGAGAGGCTATGGATTCATTCCAGGTTAAGGAAAATCAGATTTGATCGAGGAAGAACCTCTAAAATCCTGACTAGAGACATGGGAAAATAAACCTAAAGTAATTACAAGACATGTGATGTATATTTTACCTGATAAAACAAAAAATTATCTTTGTCTGGCTTCTGTAAAATATACAGTTTATATTTGTATTAATACAGACTATGATGATCCAGCCTCACAAAATACTCCAGCCAAGACTTAACAATTATCCTGATTTCCTCAGGGTCCCTCAAAGATTACCAGTGCCCCTAGTCAGCAGGAAGTAGTCTAGAGAACTATGCCCACATTCCCAAAATATCGGTTATAAATGTTTGTTTTCATTTAAGGGGAGTTGGTTACAAATTGTTATTGGTCATAGTCAATCTCTTTCTAAAAAAAGAAAGGGGGATATGATATAGAAATGATGGGAGAAAGGGTAGATTATTGAATCTACTTTACTCCAAAAGACAACTGTTAATCTCAAAATATTTTACATTGATAGGGATTTTAATTTATTGATACAAATTTAAAGTTATTTCTGTTATGCTTTATGTATATTTCTACTCTTGTTTTGGGTATTGTGTTTATGCAGCTCAATTAAAAGTGTAATGTATGATTCAAAAAATACAGATTAATAGTCATCTATAATATAGTCAAACTTATAGTCCTGTTTGGTATGTTTTCAAGGTAATAAACAGATATATTTAGATAGATGGTCTTCAAACACTTCAAAGATCTACAAAATATGGCATTTAAAATGTTTTAATAACATAAGATTTTTTATCATAATGAGACACATCTCCTCTTGGCAGCATCAATCTACTTCAGAGAAGATGTTGGGCAGTGAAAAAACTCCATATGGAATTTGCTTTCTTTATGGCCATGTGGGCAAAGAAACTGCTCTTGCCTCAATTGCTGACAGTTATTATACAAACTGGACCAGCAGATTGCAAGAAAGGTGACTGCTGAACTTTGCCACGACAAGGTAGGACAGTCCTTCAGAATTCCCTGCTTCACAGGAATGTCTGCCAGATATGCCAGGCCTGTAGGCCAGAGTTGGATGCCCCAGTGTTACAGAAGAACTTTGGGTGACTGTCCAGGCAGCCTGATGTCCCTGTCATTAGGTAACATTTAACCCTTCTGGGACCTTTGATGGAGTTGAAGACTAAATCATTATAATTAAAGCTTTCCTTAGTTATAATAGAAAGTAAATTAGATACAAAACTTTAGATTCACCAAGATAAGATAGATAATTAAGTATTTTCTCTAAATTTTGTCAAATGCAAATGGATTGGATATTGTTACTGTAATTATTACTTAATAAATGTTTTTGTTGTATATATTTTTGCTCTATTAAGGTTAAAACCTTCCTTTTTAATTAGACAAAGGAGGAAATGCTGTGAAGCAATCCTTTTCTATGCTCTGAACAAGTATTACTCTCATTGGTTAATAAAAAGCTGACAGGCCGGTAGCTGAGCAGGAAGTTAGGCAAGAAAGCCAAAATGAGAATGATGGGAGGAAAGAGGACAGAGTCAAGAGATGCTAGCCAGTCACCCAGGAATCAAGACATGCTAGAGGATGGGTAAAGCCACAAGCCACGTGGCAATACTTAGATTAATAGAAACGGGTTAATTTAACACACCTGAGCTATCAGCTGAGCATTTATAGTTCATATTTAGCCTCTGAATTGGTTATTTGGGACTGGGTAATCAGGACAGGAAAAGCGCCATTTACACGGGAAGATCTGGTTGAATGCCTGTTTGACTTCTTGCCTAATTCATCTCCTCTCTCTCTCTAAAATACTTCCCTCAATCTGCCCTTAACTCAGGTGTTCCCTTCCCTCCCTCCCTCTCTCCCTCCTTTCCTCTTTCCTTCCTTCCTTCCTCCCTCCCTCCCTTCTTTCCTTTCTCTCTTTCTTTCTGAGACAGGGTCTCCCTCTGTAGCTCAGACAGGCCTTAAACACACAGCAATGCCATGTCTTGGCCTCCCATCTGTTTGAAATGTATGGAGGAGCCATCATGGCCAGCTTGAGAGTTTGGTCTCCAATTTCCCTACCTGTTTTTGCTGACGTCAAATGAGAGCTCAATTTAATATGTCTGAGTCCTCGAATAGCTACAGTTCCACCCCCTAAAAGACTCCTGTCCTCCCCAGGGACATGTCACATTTTACAGTGGCCACTTTTACACAGTTACCTGGCTGAGGGATTGTAGTTGAGATGGAGTTCCGGCATAGATAGATATGTGCTGTGCATGTGCATGTATGTGCTTGTGAAGGTCAAGGTCAGCCTTTGGTGTTGTTCCTCAGGAGATGACCACTTTGTTTTGGAGGAGAGGGTCTTTCACTGGAACTTGGGGCAGGCTGATTAGGTGAGGCTGGTTGGCCAGTGATCTCCAGAGAGCCACCACCGCCATTGCAAGTGCGACACCGTGCTTAGCATTCATTTTACCTCGGATTTGAGTTGCTAGAGAGCAAACTTAGGTCTTCGTGCCTCTGCACCGAGTACTTTCCCTACTAAGCTATGTCCTCGGCCCCTGGTGTTCTGTGTATACGTCTGTGGATCTGTGGTGGTGGGATCTGTGGTGGTGGGGAGTGTTCTGTGTATACGTCTGTGTATACATCTGTGTATATGTCTGTGTATACATCTGTGGTGGTGGGGTCTGCGGTGGTCGGGAGTGTTCTGTTTTTTTAGATAGCATCTCATGTACTCTGGGTTGGCCTTGAATTCACTCTGTGGCTGAGAGCACCCTCAATTGGGGCACAGACTTTGGGCTTTGGGTGGAAAGAGTGAGAACAAGGGGGATCTATTCGAGGGGCAATGCACTGGCCTAGCCCCCCCCCCAAAAAAAGACGCTAGTATACACTGGGACCTCCTTCAGTGAAGGGAAGGCTGTGGCAGATCCTCCATATTTCTCCCTGGCCCCGTGCATAATGGCCCCAGTAATGTGCAAAAATGGCTTGGTCCCTCTGTCTCTACCTCCCAAGTACTGGGATTACAGGCATGCACTCCCATGCTTGGTTTCTGGATAAGCTCTGTGCTTTGCTGTGTGTGTGATATTTACAATGGTGAGGAAACTTTCTTTCCACTTTCATACCATCAATAGATCAAAATATCCTGCCCAGTGCACTTTGAGACAAGGTCCCACTGTGTCACCCTAGTGGCCTGAAACTTGATATGTAGACCAGGCTGGCCTCCAACTTAGAGATCTACCTGCCTCTGCCTCCCAAGTGCTGGGATTAAAGGCGTGCGCCACCACCGCCCGGTTTATTTTTTGAGTTAAGATCTAGGGGCCATGACTGTGTCCCCAAGAGCCCATGAATGGCTCTAACATGATTTTTTTTTCTCCTTTTAAATAATCCCTGGGTCTTGGGATGGAATGAGTCCGAGGAAGGTGAGGCTGTGGCTCGTGTCGCCCTGCCCCCACCGGATTACCTGGGTAGCTGCAGGGTGCCAGGAGCAGCTTTCATTGGGTTGCATCTGAGGCGGATGGTGGTTGATCTTCCAGAACTGCAGGACTGAGTCACATCATTGGATCTGCAGTGAAAGCCGACACCATGAGGGAAGGAACCTCTCCATTGTTATTGAACCATTATATGGAGTCAACATGGGGTGATTCCTTCACTGGGCAAGCAAGAACAGGGAGGGCCAAACTTTGGTCTTTATGCGAGAGAGTGGGGGACCACTCAAGGGGGCAATGCATTGGCCTAAGAAAGAAAAGGCTAGCAAATGCTGGGCCCTCCTTCAGGGAAGGGATGTCCATGGCACATCTTCCATATTTCCTGCCTCAGTGCATAATGACCCCAATAATATGCAAAAGGCCCAGGTCAAGTTACAGCCAGCGTTGACTCTGATGACTCGGTAGCCCCAGACCTCGGACACGCCCAGGCTTGACAAGTAGGAGGTGGATAGAGAGGGAGGGGTGCGGATTTGTGGGAGAGTCTGAGGTTTCTCTTGCCTGGTCTCTCATCCTCACCTGAAAAAGAAGACTACATCCGGGATCCCTGAGGTCTCCGGGTGGAAAAGTTCAGCCGGGGAGATGATTCCATCCAAAGTCATGTCTGTCGACACCCCTGTCAAATCAGAGCCCCCAATTAGCTCTCGCTCACAGCATCAGCTGGCAAAGGCTTCAGTGCTTTCCAGACCTGTCAACCACCAACCTTCATTTCACCATACCACCGAGCAGCTCGCACAAACGTGAACCCGAGGCTGATCAGAGATGCCAGGGGCACGTGGAATGGAATTGAAAACAGAGGATTGCCAGGCAGTGGTGGCGCATGCCTTTAATTGCAGCACCCGGGAGGCAGGACCAGGTAGATCTCTGTGAGTTCGAGGCCAGCCTGGTCTACAGAGCTAGAGCCAAGAAAATCACCAAAACTATACAGAGAAACCCTGTCTCAAAAAAACCAAAACCAAAACAAAACAGAGGACCATGTACCTTCTAGCCTGTCAGCCTCATATTCTCTAACACACACATATACACACAGAGAAAGAGACACACACACAGAGACACATATAAACAAACACACCCATACACAGAGAGACACACATACACACACACATATACAAACAAACACAGACACACAGAGAGAGACACACATATAGACACACACACAGACATACACATACACAAACACAGACACACATAGAGAAAGACAAAGACACACACAGAGAGACACAGAGACACAGACACATGGACACACATACAAACACAGACTCAGAGACAGAGACATATATACACCACTAAGAGAGAGACACAGACACACACAAACACAGATTCAGAGAGAGAGAGAGACACACACACACACATACAAACACACACACACGTACAAACACACAGAGACACAGACAGACAGACAGACACACATCTCTCACACACACACAGTCAAGCAAGCCTAGGGGTTACTCACCAATAAGTCGGTCCGCGAGGCTGACTGGCTGTGAGGACACCCCAGCCTTGTAGCCCGTCACCTCGGAGGGGATGATGACCACCTGGCAGACATAGGCTGTGATGGACTTGGAGAAACCGGCCTCACCCTCAGGGATCCGGAGGTCAGTGACGTTGTCTGTGCACACCGACATTTTTTTCCCCTAGTAGGGAAATGTGGGGGAAAGCAAATGGTCACAGACGAGTCCCCAAAGGGACCTTTTTCTTTTTTTTCTAAAAAGTTAAGCTTTCCCACCACACGTTGCAGTGGAACAGCTCTAACACGACTGAAGG